AAAGCCCTAAAGCCCCAAACCCGTAAAAGTACTCTTATAGACCCGCTTTTGAGAAGCCCTTTAAGGGAAGCCAAAACCCCAATAGAAACCTTAACTCGACCCAAGAGTAACCTAGGAATAAAAAGGGTGCCCGTTTTGGTTTGAAGGGGCTTATAAGAGAACCTGAACCATAAAAAAGGGAATAAGTGCCTACTCTAGGTCCTAGTTAAAAAAACCCCTAAACACTAAACCTTAAACCCTAAAACCCTAAACCCTAAAACCCTAATCCTTAAAAGCCCTAGGTCCTAGTTAAAACCCCTAAAAGCCCTCCAAGCCCCTGGCCACAGAGGGCTCCACCGCTTTGCAAGTCGCCAGGTGGCGCCTTTGAAGCTAATCGTAAGTGTAGGGGTGCCCTTATTTTGGGGTCCATAGAATAAGGGTCCCTTTAAAGGGATCCTTAGGGATTTTATAAGGGTATAGGGTTTAGGGATAAGTGTAGGGGTGCCCTTATTTTGGGGTCCATAGAATAAGGGTCCCTTTAAAGGGATCCTTAGGGATTTTATAAGGGTATAGGGTTTAGGGATAAGTGTAGGGGTGCCCTTATTTTGGGGTCCATAGAATAAGGGTCCCTTTAAAGGGATCCTTAGGGATTTTATAAGGGTATAGGGTTTAGGGATAAGTGTAGGGGTGCCCTTATTTTGGGGTCCATAGAATAAGGGTCCCTTTAAAGGGATCCTTAGGGATTTTATAAGGGTATAGGGTTTAGGGATAAGTGTAGGGGTGCCCTTATTTTGGGGTCCATAGAATAAGGGTCCCTTTAAAGGGACCCTTAGGGATTTTATAAGGGTATAGGGGTTTAGGGATAAGTGTAGGGGTGCCCTTATTTTGGGGTCCATAGAATAAGGGTCCCTTTAAAGGGATCCTTAGGGATTTATAAGGGTATAGGGTTTAGGGATAAGTGTAGGGGTGCCCTTATTTTGGGGTCCACAGAATAAGGGTCCCTTTAAAGGGATCCTTAGGGATTTTATAAGGGTATAGGGTTTAGGGATAAGTGTAGGGGTGCCCTTATTTTGGGGTCCATAGAATAAGGGTCCCTTTAAAGGGATCCTTAGGGATTTTATAAGGGTATAGGGTTTAGGGATAAGTGTAGGGGTGCCCTTATTTTGGGGTCCATAGAATAAGGGTCCCTTTAAAGGGATCCTTAGGGATTTTATAAGGGTATAGGGTTTAGGGATAAGTGTAGGGGTGCCCTTATTTTGGGGTCCACAGAATAAGGGTCCCTTTAAAGGGATCCTTAGGGATTTTATAAGGGTATAGGGTTTAGGGATAAGTGTAGGGGTGCCCTTATTTTGGGGTCCATAGAATAAGGGTCCCTTTAAAGGGATCCTTAGGGACTTTATAAGGGTATAGGGTTTAGGGATAAGTGTAGGGGTGCCCTTATTTTGGGGTCCATAGAATAAGGGTCCCTTTAAAGGGATCCTTGAGATTTTATAAGGGTATAAGGATTAGGGATAAGTGTAGGGGTGCCCTTATTTTGGGGTCCATATAATGAGGGTCCTACTATTTCGGGTACTGTACTAGGGTTTAGGGGTTTAGGGTTGCAGGGGTTTCCTTGAAAGGGACCCATAAGGGTTCCATGTGTACGGAGGGTTTAGGGTTTTAGGGCTTTAGGGTTTAGGGCTTTAGGCTTTGGGGCTGCAGGGCTTTAGGGTTTAGGGCTTTAGGGTTTGGGGCTTTAGTAGGGGTATAAGGCTTTAGGCTTTAGGTGTAGTTTTTAGGGCTTTAGGATTCAGGGCTTTAGGGTTTAGGGCTTTAGGGTTTCGGGCTTTAGTAGGGGTTTAAGGCTTTAGGCCTTTAGGTGTAGGGTTTAGGGCTTTAGAATTCAGGGGTTTAGAGTTTAGGGCTTTAGGGTTCAGGGCTTTAGTTAGGGGTTTAGGGCTTTAAGCCTTTAGGGTGTAGGGTTTAGGGCTTTAGGGTTCAGGGGTTTAGGGTTTAGGGGTTTATAGGCTTTAGGGGTTAGGGGTTTAGGACTTTATGGTTTCGGGGTTTAGGGGTTAAGGTCTTAGGTGTTAAGGATTTAGGAGACATACCACAAGGCGTCTCGCGTCGGGGGTACGGCTAGAACCGTCACCGCTGGTGCTCAGGCCCTTGAGGCTGTGGAGTTTGCCTGTTTCATGTTTTGGGCTTCCGAATGTGATCTAGCTTAATCTACCAAAACCCAACTTTTTTGTAGGGTCCATACACATCCCATTAACAAGAAGCTACTAAAAAAAACAGGCTATGGTAGACTAAGGTAGGGAGAAACTGCTTGGAGCTTAGAGGGTTCATTGTCAGGTTTCGCCAGAAACTCTGACATTAAGTGGCACGTTTCTGTCATTGGCCTTGCTTTTTGAAGCCGCGGCAGTGTACAATTGTTGCAGCCCCCCCTAGGGCTCCAGTTACCTAAGCAGTAATAATCGTAATAACAGTAAACATAGCGAAATTTAGAAAAACAACAATATCTCGCGCAAATGGCAGCAAGCAGCAACAAGCCTTTAGCATTTAGATATTCTAGACTAGCAATACTCGGAAGATCACTACGTGTAGGAATGTTGCGTATGCGAATTTTCAATGGTAATGAAAGCGCTAAATTCGGCGACAGCATCTCATAACATCGTGTAGAATGCGGTGGGAAGTGTTTTGCTGTTGTGGTCGAACACCTGCATTCGAAAGCTCTCTAAACCTAAAGCCTAAGCCCCCAAACCCTTGAACCACAAAAGCGGAAAACCCAACACCCCTTGACAATGCTGTCCAGATCCCACATACCCAACGCCCTAGCCTACGGATCCAAACACCCAAATCCTAAACCCTGAGTAACAATTTACTCTTCTAGCTGTATAAACTTGATAGCACGCTATAAACTATAAAGCCGTTGACGTAGTAACGTTATAGAAGGCCCTAAAACCACACCAAAACGCTTCAACAAACACCTGCAACACACCCGGAATGCAAACATATCCTTATAGCTCCCCACAAGAAACTCTTCTTTATCCCTATACCTCCCTATATCAAACAGGGGTAAACCCCGAGCAACGGCAGCTCAGCTCCGGACGTGTTGTACAGTAACGACAATTCGCCGAAGCACTCACCGGACCTTGAGGAAAACTGAATAATCCAGCGGCCTTAACCCTATCCCTCCAAGGACCTCATAGTTAGGGCCCTAGACCCCTTAAGGACCCCATAATAAGGTCCGTGGAGGCATAGGGTAATAATTTGAATCCTGGGGTTAATTGTACTGCCCAAAGGTCCAGAGGATCCTAAGTACCTATATCGTAGAATGTAGGGTTTCTATAGTAGCAGAAACTACTAGTACGGTTTAGGGAACTATCCCCCGTAACATTACCTAGGAGTTTTTGTGGTTTGAGTTGAAGCTAGTAACTAATTTGGGGCCTTCATAATCTAGACGAGGGTTTTGGTGCCCAATATGCTATGGTAATAACAAGGAACCCCAAAATTGTATTGATAGTTATTAGTAGGGCCACCATATTAGTTTCAGGGTGTTGCCTGAGCTTTGATGAGTGTTGTCGGGTCGTCTGGACATGGGCCATACTTAAAGGATCATGGGGCTTAGTAAGTAGGTTATAATTGGGGTTATAAGTCCCCTAAGTGGGGTTACCATAATTATAACCTACTTATAACCTTACTTACTAGGTCCCATGAGCCTTCAAGTAATACTTCGAAGAGGTTTGGAGAATGCACGTGGGTTGGGTTTAGGGTTTAGGGTTTACACCCTACTACGGTCATATCAGGGCTATTTAACAATGCTGCTACGAAGGCCGAAAATCTTAACCCTAGACCATAAGCTAGAAGTTCAGGGACGTTTTGGATTTGGGGCCAGAGCCTGTCTGCAAGGACAAGAGGCACCAGAACATCGGCTGAGGAGGCACCGAAAGCACAAGGACCAAATCCTGCATCCTGGTGAACCCTAGATGGTAGGGATGGTTATTTAAGCCAAGAAGATGTGCCCCAAACCCGAACCTTGAATCCAGAGACACCGAAACACTGGACACCTAGACAAATTTTTGCAAAAATGGTAAATAGTCTTTGCTTATTATGATTATGAGTAGTATGATCATCAGAACTATAAGGACCCCTATACAGCATATTATCACTAGTCTTGTTATGGTTATAGTTGAAAGGACCCCTATACAGTAGCCCGTAAAGGCCCGGGCGTTAGCCGGCACAAGGGGGGACAATCCTCGACTGGCCGAAGCAGTTGGACCTGGCAACAGGGTTCAGGGCTCGGAGCAGCTGTTTATGGCTAGATTATAGTAGAAGCCAGAAAGTTGGAACACGGCTTTAGAAGGATTCGTGCTAGGATCCCTTATAATTTACCTTAAGGGCATGAGGAGAATGATGTTCCAACTTTCTGGCTTCTACTATACTTCACGGCTCTGGGCAGCTGTGCAAAAAAGAACTTTTTTGCGACATTGCTACTATATAACCCCGCCACCACCGGATGCATGGTTTTCACAATTTAGTGAAATGTGTCTATAGTTAAGGTTGTAGGGCTTAGGGTAGAAGCTGCTGCCGCCCACACGCGGCCAGTGGTTGTCCAACCTGGCAGGCAGCGGTTGAGGGTGTAGGGGTTTTAGGGTTTGCGGCTTCGGATTTGTCTCCACTTGGCTCGGACCCTCCATTTTCATGGCTCCCAAACTCTCAAGCAATCAGCTCTTGATGCACGGGTAGGATTTAAGGTTTGGAATATGTATAATCAAGAGGCTGATGAAAACCTACGAGGCATCAATCACTGTGGAGGACAGAAAGCTTCGTAAGCAGCCCTTCCAGCGTTAGCTGCTGGGGGTTCAAAGTGGTTGCTGGCTGCACAATGGCTTCAAAGCTAAGACGTGGGAACTCGGGATCGTCAGGCATTGCCCCCTTGTATACGTGTAAGTGGCCTCGCTTAGACTTGCCACTGCTTCGCTCAGCGAAGGCAGATAACAAAGCTGAGTGCCTGGGCCATGCTGCTTCAAACTCGGAAGTCAACCAGACATGAAGGTGCAAGAAAGCTGCAGCCTGAAACGAGATTGAAGATCCTTTGAGGCCATTGGACATGAACCACGGTCGATCGGCAATCCGGATACCTCGCATGCGAGCCACAAGTCCCTCAGGCGTTGCCAATCCAGGCCCCAACTCGCGGAACACCGCGACATTCGCTTCCCACCAACCTGTGGTCTGACGAAACCTTGCCGCTGGTTTCTCATCGGGCCAGGAGAGTCCTGAAACTGTCTTGTTTTTTTTAAGATTGTTTAGTGTATGGGTTACAATGAGAATTCGAATTCAATCCGTATTGAATCATGCAGCGGTTCGATCCTCAAACCCCTTTCTATTAAACCGGAAAATAATAAAGAATAATCATTCAGGGCACCATTCGCCATCAGCACCTTGTGTTGCCCAGAGGTGGTGCCCGCTCGGTACTCTTCTTGCACGACTCCAGCTGCTTGTCGATGGATTGCAAAAAAACCCCGCCGCGCACGTCGACATGAGGCACCTTCTCGCCATCGCCATTCAATCCGTATTGAATCATGCAGCGGTTCGATCCTCAAACCCCTTTCTATTAAACCGGAAAATAATAAAGAATAATCATTCAGGGCACCATTCGCCATCAGCACCTTGGCCTTGTTGCCCAGAGGTGGTGCCCGCTCGGTACTCTTCTTGCACGACTCCAGCTGCTTGTCGATGGATTGCAAAAAAACCCCGCCGCGCACGTCGACATGAGGCACCTTCTCGCCCAAGCGGGTTGCCATCGCCACCTTCCGCTTCTTCGCTGCAACCATGTCCTGCTCGGCCTCTATCTCTTCCAGCGATTTCTTGTGGGAGGATGCAGGGTCGGTCGCATTCTTCTTGTCTTTCTTCTCCTTTTTGTGTTTCTTGTCCTTTTTGTTCTTTTTGTGTTTCTTGTCTTTCTTGTCCTTCTTCTCCTTTTTGTCCTTCGTCTTCTCCCGCTTGTTCTCCTCCTCGCATTTGTCCACTGGTGCACTGCCACTGCTGCAGGGCGGATTCGGAGGGCAAGCAGAAGATGCCGCTGAAGAAACACCACTTCTGACAGCAGTAACCTCGCTCACAGCAATGACAATCTCATCCAACCGTCGATTGCTTGAAGATGCCCTGGGCCCATCTTGCAAAGTTTCCTTCTGCATGCCAGCAACCGTTGACGAGATACACCTGGAGTGTGCCTGCAGTTTGGCCCGTACGGATTCTGGGTTTGCCTCACGAAGTCCAGCCAGGCGTGGCTTGTCCGATCCCGAAGCTCCACTTCTTCGCTGCTCAGTTTCGCGTGCACCGAAAAACTCTTTATATACAGCCTGTGCCTGCAAAACAAACTTGGAAGGCTTCCAGTTGCCACTAGCATCCCTGCCGTCCCGAAGACTGTCAGCAGAAGCGCACCCATGCACACTCAACTTCACCGCGTCTTGAAGAGCGTAGATGTGCAATCTGTGAGCTCTGTTTTTTCAACTCTGTGACAGAAACTTCGTGCAAATTCCGTTCGACTGATGCCGTGGACGTTCCAATCGTCAAAGTGTGTTGCACCAGCCAGCATGCCTCCAAGCGCACCGCGGCCTGCTCCTTCCGAAGCTCTCGAAGTGTGGCCAACCAGGCATTGTTGGAGCCCTGACGCTGTTCCTTCAGATGCCAGAACGCTCTGGCGAGCAGGCCGCCAGCACCAAGCCCGTCATCGCTACCTCCGCCGCCCAGCTGCTTCCTGGAAATGTGGGCTGGAAGACAATATCAAAAGAACAAACAACTTCATACAAGACTTAAAGCTACCACCTAACAAAGTGCCTTCTAATGCATGGGCTCACCAGGTTTTCGCACCGTCCATTTGGTTCTGTTGGGCAATAGACTGCACCAGTTCTCCCCGCTGGGACAGCGTCAGATCATTTTCTAAGTCCATAGCAGCAAAAGCATTGCTATATGCATGGCGAGGAAAATTTGAATCAAAAAAGGCCTTGTAGATTCTGTACACCTTCTTAGCCACTTGTCGAGATTCCGTGAGGTCGCCTTCGGAGACATCCCAAACAGCTACCGCCCTGAGTGGGCGAGGGCCCCGGCTACCCGTGGTACGATTCCCAAGAAAAGTTATGATACCGATATTTTGGAGGGTGCGGATCACGGTTTGTGTAACAGTAGCTGCTGCACTCGGCAAGAATACGCCGCCTTTGTCAAACATGTGTTCCATCGTGTGGATCGTCTCCGCTGCCTGCTGGGATTTGTGCTGTGTTCAATTCGCTGTTGGCACTTAAAGGTGTGCATTCATAGGCTTGGACTCGGCTAGCAGAAGTGTCAATTTAGCCGGGGCCTGCCTGCTGTGCCGTGACACAGGCCTCGTCATTGTCAGTGTCCGCGAGCCGCAAGAAGCGCTGGCCAATCAACATCGAATCGGCTGCCAGAGCGGCATTTACCAAGTGCTGAAATGCACTTCGGCCAGACAGCTCTGTCAACAAAGTCTCTGCAAAACGCCGGTCGTCACGATCGCCTTCTGCAGCCAGCTGCACCAGGAAAGCATATACGGATTTCAAGCTGCTGAGAAGCTTGAACAATGGCATGCTCAAGCTGTTGAACCTCTGCTTTGCATAGCTGAAGTTCCGGAGTGCCTGGCTGAACTCCTTTTGTTGCGATTCCGCCCATAAGATTCGGTACTTGCCTGAATCTTCCAACATGCGAGCCAGACTGGCCTCGCCTGTGATTAGAAGCTGCAGAAGCCCACCTGACAGCTCATCCAAAAAAGGCCAGGCTCCCCTTTGCAAGTTTCGCATGCGATGTGCCCTGTCGACGACAACGTGTTGAAGACGAGGCAACAAGTCAGACATTTTGGATAGCACCGTTTGGTCTGCCGGGCCCCCATCTGCGACCGCGCAAGTTATGATGTTCTGCAGGGGACAAATCACAGACATTCTATTCTGCTATGTCATTAAATTAAATGAAGCTCTTTTCCAACCCTTGTCCTTCAGATGATGGTGCAATTCCTTGTCCACAACATCTTGGGCTCCAGATTGGCCGTCCTTCTCACGCATGCCACGCTTCACTGTCGCGGCCGCCTTCACCACGGCATCCACAGCTGCATTGACATTATCCTCGGAGAATCTCACAAGACTGTCTAAAACCAGGAGAGGTCGAAGAGAGGTCGAGGAGAGGTAATCAGAGGTATAATCCGAGCCAGGGCACAGGGCTGGGGCCGAAATCACGAGCTATGCCGAGCAAACACTGGTAGACGCCCATACCCTGCTGGGGCAGCAGTGTGCTGGAGTTGCAATGTCGAGCGTAGTTCCAGCTGCAGTGGGTCTGTTCCTGTGTGCAGCCGCTGTGCTTCTGCAGCCGCAAGCCGCGGCCAGCTAGTTCTGTCGAAGGCAAGATCTGAGTCACCTAGCCTTGGCCGGCACGGATGAAAATCCTGACTGTGACAATTCTGTGCCGTGCATTGTTGCTGACTTTATGTGCGCATGATGCCTCCCAGCTTCGTTCCTCGCCCGGGGAAGAATTTAGTGTGGAAATCCTTCGTGGAAAACCGAGCCCTCCCCAGACTTGCCCGTCGACGGGCTAGTCTGGGGAAGGTTGTTTTCTTGTGCGCAACGAGGTTTGTCATGCCAAGTCTGGGGCACAGGGTCTTGACAAAGTCCACTCCGGGGCTGAAAACCAGCTCCCCCAGACTTGCCCGTTGACGGGCAAGTCTGGGGAGCTTTCCGTTTCCCACAAGATAATCCCAGACTAGAATTATGTGCCGGGGCATTTCTCCATCGAACTGAATCAGGGTCGGTGGGAAAGCAGAATGAACCTGTAAGCCCAGAGTCACTGGCACGGATGTCCGCCAGCTTCTCAAAGGGCCAGCCCTCAGCAGCATCATCAAACGGCGGCGCAGGTGCAGCAGAAGGTGCAGAAGGAGCAGAAGAAGGAGCAGAAGGTGCAGAAGGCTCCCGCTCCACCGCCGCCGGCGCCTCCGCAGCTGGACCCGGGTCCTTGCATGAGTGAAACCCAGACACCAAAAGTCGGTACACTCGGTGTCGAAATCGGGTTACTTGGGGGTAGGGTTGAAAGGGCTTGCGATTACAGTCTTATCCCAACCCCAACCAGTAAGGATATAAAGGATACAACATTTTGCTTAAAAGAACATCCGGTTCTGGAGCTGGCACAGGCTCTGCTGTCTCAGCCGCTGCTCGGCCAGCATCTGCGGTCACTGCCGCTGCCATCTCCTGGGTTGACCATGAAAAGAGAGCCCGAACCCAAGAGTATCCTAGTCCCCGGAACCAAAATCTGCAAATTGCCATGGTTTACAGAAACAGTCTGCTAGCCATTCTTGTCGAGGCACAGCGCCGTCGCCCGCAGCAGAAGTGCCAGGTGCATCAGCAGAATCAGATGCAGTAGATGACAATGGAGCAGTCGGAGCAGCAGATGCATCAGCAGCAGGCAGCGGATCTCCAGAGTCAGCCGCACCCGCCGGACGTCGAGCAGGGATCTGCAGGAGTATTGGGCAATGGAACAGGATGTGTTGTCATGACCCTTTAACCTTGCCTCTACTAAGAAATGGTCAAGGCTGCCAATTGCAACTTGGCTACGACCACCGGCGGCCGAATCGGCCCGTAGTGGCCCTGCTGACGCCGCTGCACGCGGCCCTGACCACGCTGCCCGTACCAGTCCCTCGGAGCAACGCCCTGAGGCTTCGAATGCGAAGGCATGGCGCAGGCAAAGCGGGAATCAGGCAGCTAGATCAGTTTATGCATTCAGCCAAGTTCAGGTTAACCTGATTATATTTTTGTGGCACCCATGCTTTGAAAACCTGAACTTACAATCAGGTGAAGACGGACAATTTGTTTAGCATTGGCCCGACCTCACACTGAATCCCGAACCCCTGAATCGGATTAAGGGTTTAAAGTTCAGGGTGTTGAGTTTAGGGTATTAGGGCCCCGGGTGGCTGAATCCCGAACCCCTGAATCGGATTAAGGGTTTAAAGTTCAGGGGGTTGAGTTTACGGTATTAGAGCCCTGGGTGGCTGAATCCCGAACCCCTTAGTCGGATTAAGGGCTTAACGTTCAGGGGGTTGAGTTTAGGGTATTAGGGCCCTGGGTGGGGTTCAATGATGCGATCAGCTAATGAACTGATTCAGCACAATGTTCCGCCCTCTTGCACACAGACACACACACGCACACACACGAGCACACGGAGCCACAGGTTGCCGCAGATTGCAGATAATCGCAAGACATGTACAATGCACGGATCGAAGCAGGCAGCCCAGCAGAAGTCCTGTTGTCATCTTCGACGTCAGCACCAGAGGATCATCCACGAAGATCGACCGCGCCTCAAGTCGAAGGCAAATGGAGACAGGCCAGGAAGAAGTATAAACCCAAAGGCCCAAAGTCACAAAGCTTGACCAACAAAATGGAGGTGCCTAGTAATGATCGAAGTAGAGGGGTAAATCGCGGCTACATGCATTTCGACTAGCTACTCGAGTGGGATGCCTCTCAGTATATAAAACTCAGAACCCCGCACTTATGGAACCTGCTAGGGGTGTAGGGTTTCTTATGTGTTTCAAAAGAGAGCTCGTCTATTACAGAACACCCCATTTGGGACTTCAGGCAATCCAGAGTATAGCGGGATTCAGGATTTTAAAGGAATTAAGGTTTGGAGGTGATATAGGGGAATATCGATCAAGAGAACCTCAGTCCGCTACGCCTTTCGGCGAACCCACAACCTAAATATACCACCGACCTCATCTATTTAGCGCCTTGTGGCGATTTGACCCCTCCCTAGCGCCTTGCGGCGACTTAGGAACCCCCTAGCGCCTTGCGGCGAACGACCTGCTAGAGCCCGAGCCCATTAGCGCCTTGCGGCGAACCCTGCGCATTAAAACCCACCCACTACCGCCTTGCAACAAACCCTGATTCCTAAACCCTATATACGTATAAGTATTATAAATACCCTTTTAACCCATCCGCCTAAACCCCGAACTGAGTCCGCACAGTTGCCTCCCAGCTCCTGCAGCTTCTCCAGACACTTCCTGCCAAGACAGACCAGTCGGGATGGGCACCGGTGGGCAACTCGACTTGACATAGTGCGGCAAACAGAATCCAAAGCCGACTGTGCATTGAATCCAAGCGTGCTATGGCCGGCCTGCAGAACATTGATCGCGATGGAAGATGCAGAAGAAGCCACCGGACCTCAGAACTATTGCAAATCCAAGTGCAGTGTCGAAGGAGAGGAAGCGATAAGGTTTGGGGTTGGAAGGGATAGGATTTAGGGTTTGGGTTTTTCAGGGCCTGGGGTGTGAGGAAGGGACAGGGATTAGGGGGGGGTGCCTAACACTTGCATGGTTCCCAAAACAACTAGGATCCCAAACCCAAGGCACCCAAATACAAGCCGGCCGACCAACACAAAAACCGGCACACCCAATTGACCCCATGCCAAGCTACCGTGCATCGGCGTGAAGTTCGACTTGTGGCTTGGAATGCTACCCCCCAGGCCCACTGGATCCCGTCAAACACCACACCCAAACCCAAACAAAACAAGCCAAGTCAAGAGAGATAGGAGGTTTCTCAAAGTTTGGGAATGGGTTCGGACTTGCCCTACAGCCTAAACCCTAAAGCCTAGACCCTACAATCCAAAGCCTGATGCATATAAAACCTAAACCTGAAAATCTAATCCCTAATCCTACACCCCAAAATCTAAAACTTAGAACATAAACCCTAAATTCTAAAAGCTAAACACTAAAATCGGGTTTAGATTCCCACGAAAACTTCAGGTTCACCGCCTGTTGTGAACCCGACACCCTAAACTTCCTAGTCCATACGATAATATATATATATATATATATATATATATTATAAATACACACACATATATATATATATATACACACACACATCGCCTTTCGTGACTATCGCCAGTCGGCGCTCTTTCGGTATTTATTACCTATACCTTCTTTATATATATATATATGTGAAAAAAAAATATATATATATATATATATATATATATATATATTTTATTTATACATATATATATATATATATATATATATATATACATACACATCTTTTAATCTACAAAGGGTAAATCCTAAACCCTAAAGGCTAAACGGCTAAACCCTAGAGTCTAAAATTTAAAGCCTAAAGCACAACTTAAAGCCTGGCGCCTAAATCCTAAAGCCTACACTAAAATTAAACTATCGCCTTTCGGCGCACTATCGCCTTTCGGCGCACTATCGCCTTTCGGCGCATCAAAACTTAAATTATCGCCTTTCGGCGCAATATATTATCGCCTTTCGGCGCATTATATTAATTAAATAGTATCAGGTTGAGGTTTAGGATTGAATTTTTTAGGGTTTGGGGTTTATAAAGTTTTTAGGCTAACCCTCTTATATAAAATTCGGCCCTGGCGAGCCGAGCCCCCCGGCTGAATGAGCAGCACCCGCGGCCCAGGACGGCAGCAGCTTCGCTAGGGTTTGCAGGTTGAAGGTTCATGATTTAAAGGCTATTTAATTGATGGGGTAGGCATTTAGTATTGCAGCATCCTATACAAACGCAAGCCCACTTAGTAAAAAAAACCCACCCAAACCCGCAAAAAAGCAAGAAAGCAAAAAAGTGGCCAAGAGGGGTGAAGTATAAGGGTTCCCTTAAAGGATTCCTCTCAAAGGGGTCTATACGGGTACTATAAGGGATCTAGGGTTTAGGGGTTTGGGGCTTACGGGTTTAGAAGTTTAGGGACCCTCATGTGCTAAATCCTATAACACCACTCTGACCATTGAGGCGCCGATGTTATTGAGAGAAAGGCTTAGGCTTCAGCATCGATGACTGGAGTAGGGTTGGGGCGGTAACGACACTACAGGTAACTCCAGAAAGTTGGAATATGGTTTCATGGTAGGATCCCCTATAATTTACCTTAAAGGGTTACGATAATCATATTCCAACTTTCTGGCTTCTACTGTACAACAAATCAGGAAACCATCAGGGCATCTCCTTAATTTACCCTAGCTAAGGAGGATAACGTTTCCGCTCGATTGCCAGGGCGACAATTTACATCCGATGCTGTAACTCTTCTAAGTATCCTGGGATGCTGATACGAACCGCACGGAAAACACCAGTTCATCTGCTGAGTCCTAAACTCGCTATCTAGAAGACTCTACATCTTAGGGTTTAGAGTTTACGGTTTAGGTCGCCATCCTAAACCCAATCCCTGTCATGCAGCTGGAACTTCGGCAGGTGCCTTCACTTCTCGAATGCCGTCAGGGA